TGTGCGATTTGGCGTGGAATGGCCCATATATATATATATACGACCAATTCTGGACGAGTTGCGTTGATTGTGCATCAGAGAAGTAATGAATTATCTTTCACCGTTATGAGTAGATCAAAGATACTACATTAATACAATACCAAAAAGGCAGATTTCTTACTAGTAATATATGTTCCAGTAAATCAGCATGATGGAACCACCAATTTAAATAAAAGCCTATCATTTCGAAGGAGGTCCCTACAAAAATAATGTTACAATAAAATAGGAAAGTCGTAACTAGCCGCAAAATTTCCATTAAACGCAGTACATTATGCACATCGCAAAAAAAGCACGTATGAGAAACTGTGCAGATACGCAAAAGGTAAATTTGCACAACAGCTTATCAAAAAGCTAGAAAAAAAATCTTTTTAAAAAAAAACCTTGACTAGCAGTTAGAAGCATATTTCCATCAAAGGCATAATCGCAGCAAAAAACTTTTTTTCTCACATTATCAATCACTTTCCTCCGGTTAGGCAGAAAACTGAAACATAAACCGAGTCAGTGAAGTTATTTTAATTAAAAAAATTCTATATCAAACAGAGAATTTGTAAAAGTTCACCTGTTAGCGAGTAAAGCTTTTTTTGACTCTGAAAAACCACCAAAACTTGGATGTCTTCTTGGGAAACGAAGCTCAGAACGCTTTCTTCTATCTAAGATTTTTTGATTCCAGCTACACAATTCGCGCTTAATAACGTTTGTAACGACTGAACGATCAGCATTGCCAAAGCCAGCTCGAATGCTCTGCTCGGCTTTCAAATAGCTTAGGCTCTAAAAAACTCTTTTCGTTATTCAAAACGAAAAAAATGTACAATTATTTCCTCACGTTATTAAAGTACTTCTAGTTCAGTAACTGACTAACTGACACTACACTTATGCTAATTTTCATTCCAGCTTCAGTTGCACATGACTATTTCCATTCAGAAAAGTTTCCCGTGCAAAATGAGCCCTAGAACCTCAAACAGAAGAAGTTCAACCTGATATCAACGAATGTAAAGTATACTCATCAGAAAAGCCCCGAAAAAATATTCTTAAAAGAAATACAAATCTAAAAAACTCATAAAAAAGACACACGCACCAGTATAAATACAGAATTCAAAATAATAAAAATCTTAAATCTTGATAAACAGGCAAAAATAAAAATAAATTAATAAAAAATCAACACTGATCAAACCTTCTTGACTGATTAAAAGTCAATGTACTAACTTTTGTGCTTTCTAGAGCTAAGTATTAAAAGACAGGTGAAATGTTCACTTTAACTAGTCGATGACTTGACGGTTCAAATACATCTCCAAAAGCTGAACAATTTTTACGAGAATTTTCTTCTCTTTGCTCACTGTTAGGATTTTCGTCGTCGCTCGAACCAGTTAATTCCTCAGAACTCACATTAACATTACTCATTAACAAATTATCGTTTGCCGTTGTGACTACGAAACCTGCATTAGATGAAACGACTCTGATCTGGAATTAAGAGTTCAGTACAATAAAACTTGTAAGCAAACCGCCCAAGAGCTCTACATGAAACAACACAAAACAATAACTTCTTTAGCAATACAGGCAAAAAAGTTAAATGGGGGCGATAAAATCTGCTGCTGAAAAACTGCGCAAAACAGCTGCCCAAAACAGTGTCTGATGGTGTTACACATACTGCCAACAGTAAACTACTCCCTTTCAAAAAAAAAAAAATCTATACACATCGACTGAACTAACTAACAATTCCGATCCCGAGGAGTTCCCGAAATAGTTCTGTTAAAGTGAAAAATCGTAGCTGCCGACCAGGAAAAAAGCGATTAGTTAACAGGTCAAGTTCGTGCTGTCTTGTCGTTTGATGTCCTTCACTTAAATGTTGCTCTGTACTTTCTTCCCCCACATGAGAAGCAAGTATTCCCATAAATCATCAAGAGAAAGTTTAATTTATGATACTTGATTTCTGTAAATAAGTTTAGATAAAATAAAGTAGAAAAGTGTCATATAAATTATATGCAAATGACGTGACAGCAACATTGATAAGGAAAGTAAAAAGCTCAAAAAGTACTGATGCTTGCCACATTCATACAACTGCTGAATATCCTCTTTCACCACTGATAACCAATTAAGACCACTTACCAAATATACAGACCAAATGAATAGTAAAAAGATGATTGATTCTGATTTAAAAGCAACCTTCGCATCTCAAGTGAACAGTAACCCTCATATTACAGTTGTTCTCCCTAGAAACCTTTCAAAGCCCACAATATACTACAGGTGCTACAACCATAGTTATTCTTTTATCACAAGCGCAACAGTGACAAAAGATTATGACACTGTTTGGCTAGTTCATGTCAAACTTCAAAGTATCTGTAATCGAATTAGTAGAGAAAATTCTAAATTTTTTGTCTACCTCGAGTTATTTCAAGGTCAAAATGACAATGACATCATCATTTCATAGTAAGACATCTGAAAAATATGAACCACGAAAATACGATTATCATTATTTTAAGAGATAAAAAAAAGGTTAAAGGTTATAAATAAATACATATATTACAGATGATGAGTAAATAGATGAATAAACAAATAAATGAATAAATAAATAAACAAATGAAGAAATAAGTGAATAAATAAATAAATATATAAATAATTAAATATAAATATAAATATATAAATATATATATATATATGCGAAATAAAGAACTTCCGTCCAGTCAAACCTGAATAACTAACAATTAAAATTTATTGCTCGAATATTACACCTTCAAAAAACTTCTTTTACCATCAAAATTATGAGAGATGGATTTGAGACTTTATTGCAACAATTACAGACCGTTACATTTTACAATAAAACATACAACGGAGCCCACCACAAACCAAGTATTATTAACAAGCGTATTCATGAGACATCAAACAGTACTGGACTACTTCCAGATTCGTAATAAAAATTTGCGTTTTTGTATACATTTACGTCTTTCAGCGATCTTCGTTCAAAAAATGCTTTCAAAATGCTCTTTTCCTCTGTAATTTATGAAAGTAACCTCTCAAAAAGACCCTCATTTTTATGTCTGGCGATTAAAACGTCTACCATCTGCTTTGCTTAAGAAGTATATGCTGTTTTTCAAAAATTTTTCCATTGTCTTTCACAGAGTGGCGAATTAAGCTTTATGATGATTACAAAAATGTCGCCCTAAACGGGGCAAACAAATAATTATTCTGTACAGCCACTTCACTTTCTCCCCGTGGAATTCACAGCAAAATTATTCATAAGGACATTAAAGCACCAATCACAGCGGTAAAAACCCAAATTTTCCTTTTTCAAAGTGTATAAGGTGCCGTCAAAAGAAATAAAAGTTTGGTCTTAATTTCTGCTCAGTTTTGGTATCCTCAGACGTTGGTTTTCAACTATAAATTCTCCGGCAAAATCTTATAGAGCCAGCCAAAAAAAGAAACGAAACTCAGCAGAAGTATGAGACCAGTAATAAAAATAATAACCTCATATATTTAGTAAGTAGCGTAGGAAACTGTAAATATGAGAAAATTCACAGCAAAATTCGAACTTATATGAAATTTCGAGACGCGCAACATGTCACAGAACAAAAAACTGGAACATGCGAACGAATGATCAAGCACCTGACAACCGAGGAAAACGAAAAATGAAAGCAACTTGTACATCAGGATTTCCTCCTCTTAAACTTTACGTAGAGCCCTTAGCGCCGGCATGCCGGGAAAATAAAAACGGATGGTTTCTCTACTAGAAAAAACTAAATTAACTTCTCTCTAAATCTTCCTTGTCATGACCGCAGTGTATATAAAATGGTTTTTTCTCTGAAAGTACAAAAAATGGATTTTATTTCAAGTGGGACCTTGTTTATAAAACAACGACGGTGTCAAACATGCTGAAAGGCCCATCACTATCTAGAAACCGGGAAAACTTTTGAACTTTGATATGAATTTTGTTAAAAATAAATATGTAATTCATTTTGTTTTTGAAATCCAGTAACTAGACCTGTCGTGCACAAAAGTTTCGAAAATGTATCCAACAGAGTGAGTGAGATGGAACCACTAAGTAGGAAAACCTGTCAAATGGGTTTCGACGATTGTATATTCTGTTGCTTCCTCATTTTAGTGATCACCAGTTTTGTAACCTTAAAATCAGTGACTTCAAGAAACCATGAGAGACTTTTCGTTATCCTAAAAATACATATACCTTCTAGCACTGAACTCGGTAAACTAAGATTTGAGCGGCCTTCCGAAAAAATTCTAGACCTTTCCATTGCCGAGTTGTACAAGTGGAATTTTAAGGTGAGTCGCCAAATGGATGGCGAATCTGTGAAACTCTCACGGAGATAAGAGTAAGATTTTCTCATTGTAGCAAATCTCAGCTTTAACTTACATAATCGTTGCCATCAAGTCGTCCGCATACTGCAACACCATATTTAGGCCTGACGCGGCAGAGCACGATGAAGCTGCAGTGCAAGTAATACGAAAAACCTTCACATCTGGTGCAATATTCCTATCAGTTTTCTTTATATATATACCAAATATATAAAATTATGGATTTCAAAAAAACGTGGATTTAGTGAAAAGGTTTACATTCAAGTAGAGGTTACCCAAGGTCTGAACTTCGTGAACCATCTTAACGACTGGATAAAAAATTTTGCCCACCTTATGAATGACGCATTTTTTTGTTCAGAAGTTACCCAGTGATTGTCTGGCTAATCAGCTGAACAGCGCTTCTCATATGGCAGTGTTCCTTTATTTCACATTCCAGATACTATTCAATCACCGGTCTCAAACCTTTTCCGTGCAGTAAAGTAGCATTTTTCTTTTTTTTACTAGGGGCTTCGAACATCCACTACCACAGTGGGCGGACTTCAACAGTTATGCCTTCAGTCGGTACTATGCTCTAGTACCCAAATACTATTAGAAGCTAGTTAACATCAGTTATAAAAAATAATGATAACTAGCCTATGTACCAAGCAAATGGGCTGAAAATAGATTGTCTGGATGTTTTTTTTTTTTTTTTTTTTGACGGCCGAGGAAACTCGCAGTATGGTTACTGATGAAGAATCAATAGCAGTATTTCATAAGTCCCAAAGCGTTTCGTTCATCATATCATCCCATGTTAACAAGATTTTGTTAATTTTTTCATCTACCACTTCCTAAAGAATAATAGAGAATAAAAAATGTACACCTCAAGCGAAAGCCTCGTGAATATCTCTGCTGGTGAGATACCAAATCTTATGCATCATCTACACCCAAAAAATGCATTGTCGCCAAAAATTTGATATAAGTGTTACGACTTTGGCAAATAAGTTGTTACAGAGACTGTACATCAATTCGCTACCTCCAATCGCTTAACTTATTGGAATCTTGCCAAACAAGAAAACTTTCGTCGTATGAGTCAAAGAAGAAAAAGTAAATTCATGATGTACGGAATTTTTGGAGTGTTTTCGAATTTTTGAATTCGTTTCACGGTCGACAGTGTGTGTGTGAGGAAATTTTTTAACAGTGATTAGTTAGTTTAATAGTCGGACGTTTTATTTGACTCGTACGGATTGTTACATCTCGCAAGGAGGGCAACACTTCATGTTTCACCGTATTTGAAAGTATCTCTATATAATCGTTTATTCTGTATCTTTGCGCTTGAACTTTGTTTTTAAATATAAGATGTTTTTTTGGCTGTTTTGACTCTACCTGTGATTGATGAAATTTCGGCGGTTTGTACGGGCACTTTTCGTGCCATTTTTTCTTTAGCTGTTGCCACTAAATACACTGGATTTATTTAATATAATTACTATTAACCAGTGAGGTCAAATTTTAAAAACTACTTCGTTACTTCGTATAGCCGTGAGTGTATAATCAGGATTGCAGAATCATGGCTATACGGGATAATGATGTTTTTATAATTGCTTTGTAAAATTTACGGTTGCTCGTTTTACTTTTATTTGTTTTTTTAATCCTTAGTTGTTTTTTTATTTTTTCTGTAGTTTATCAGTAATTTTGCTGTGATTAATTTATGGAAACAGTATTTTTTAAATACAGTCTTGATTGGCTTTAACAACTTTGTTGCTTTTTTTAAAAATATAACTGTACTTTAGTGGCATATCAAGATGTCGTCAGCTCGCATGAACGGGATTTTGCTTTCGCCTAGTCGCTCTTCACAGACGAATATAGCACAAAAGCTACAGACAATTTTAACCGCTTGGCAGAGTGAAAACACAAATCCCAGTTATGACCCAAAGCCAACACTTTTAAGGTGTTTTTTTCTTTTATTTCTGAAACTTTAACTTTTTTTAGTGAGGTTTTACATGCAACTTTTGCTTTTTTAGCATTGCTGAATTGGTTGAAGCTGCGTTTGAAGATTTCTTAATGCAAGATCCTGATCCATTAGATGATCGTCACCCAGCAAAGACTCATCCTCTTTCTACGATGGGACACATCTTAAAAATGCTATTCCGTTATGAAGAATTCATTAACAAGGTTTACTCTGGCTTATTTTCTAGTGTTATGTTTATTTATATTTTTATCTTCATTCTTTACCGATTAAATTTGGTGAATTTTTTTTGTGGGCTTCTGTAGCTTCTAACTAAAAGTAAATACTTGTAAATTTTTTTATTTTGCTTTAGCTGGTGGTATCGTATCTGATGGCACGAGATAATGTAGAACTGAATACAATAGCTGCACGCCTTCTCTTGGACATATGTCCAGGGCTTGATGCCGACGGAACTTTTTCGGTAGTTTCTGATTTCCAAAGCATCTTTTTTTAATTCTATTAGCTTTTCACTTGAAAAATCTTTTAAAACATTACGCACAATTTTATTCTTTATTTCTGTATTATATAGTTTTAGGAACAAGACGACTTATTGCCTCAGTTATATGCTTGGGCGAGCAATTCAGAGACTGACAAGTGTTTGCGGGCATATTCTTTTGGTTTGATTGCAGTTGCTCTGGACGCTACAGATGTCGCGTCTCGGTTTAAGGCGGAGAACTTTCGTTTAATCCCTGATGCACTTTCTCGTTTGAACACACTTTATGTATGTCTTGCAACTTTTATTACGAATGAAATTTTGTAACTCGTTTAAGTAGTCGATATAGAGACTTTGTCTTCTGCCGTGCGTCAGCAGTCAGTTTTATAAGTTGTTGGAAGGGACTGGTCATAACACATTTCAGACTACCAGTTCTGCCGAGTGAGGGTTAGGTATTTTTGTAGGAGCAAATGAAAGCTGACAGAGCCCGAGAAAGTGAGGTGGTCGAAGACGCAATATACATGCGCATTGACCAGGAAGGACCCTATTTGTCTGAAGAAGGTGAGAGAAGTGAAAGAGATTTAGCAGATTCGTCAAATGTACCATTATGCAGTGAAGATGACGGGCCTTTTAAAAATATGCCGAATGAATCATTTCACTCTGGAAACAGACCCTCTTTGGCAAAGGTTCGGGGATTTACATTCATATCAACTGTTACATTGTTAATTTGAAGATAAGTTTATTTGGTTTTGCTCTTCTTTGGTCTTATGTTTGTGCTAGCTTTTTATATCATTTTCAAAAGCGCTGTGCTGTAGGTGCTAGGTGGGAAAAGAAGGCATGAAAAGACATCAAGATCTTTTGAGAGAAGAGAAGAAAGAGTGGATTCTGATCGTACTGTCAATGGGGATTTCCGCATTGGACACCAGTCTTGCTTGAGAACAGTGTAAGTTTCTCTCTTACTTTTTTTATACTTTCTTGGACGTTTGAAACGGAGGCTTTTTTACTTTTTAGTGTAGTTACAACTTTTCATCATCTTTTTGCGAGTGCAATTTGGAAA